TTACTTTGTGCTCGGGGTTGCTGTGGAGGGCGATCATGGCCTTGGTTAGGTTGTGTTGGTTGTTGGGAAGAGTGCGCCCGCGATTGTTTTTGATGGGTTCAGTCATTTGCCTCTGCTAAGGGTGGGTTTCCGTGAAACGACTGAGGCGTCCCTAATGTATCAAGCCCTCAACTTGATCTTTGAGGTTAACACACTCCTCGATATTATGGCCGTGGTCCTGGTGAAAACGGTAGTATTTAGACTGGTCCCGCCGATTAGAAAGAGACCGTGATGGTTGGGGCCATTTTAGGGGGTAGTCTTGTTGGATCTAATTGAGGACTTGTTCCATGGGGGAATTAAGGAGTGTGTACCGTTCGAACTAGGCGGGCGGTCGGGTTGGTGCCGACCGGTTGGCTTGGGGTGGTCGGTCGGTATACTGAGGTGTTTGGTTATTGTATTGGGTGTTTCTGGTTTCTAAGTCCTTTCTCTTCTCCTTGAGGGTCGGGTTTTTGGCTGTAGGGTCTTGGCGAGCGGCTAGAGAGTCTTCGGCGTTCATGTATTTTTGGGCTTTGGAAAGTAGGGTTGCCATGGAGGTCGAGGGGTTTTTAGAGAGTGAGAAAAGGAAATCAGATGATCGTAGGCCGGCCATGAACGCCGTGAGGATGACCTTGTCATTGTTTTCCGCCACCTGTAGGGCTTCGGTGCTGAAGCGGGTGACAAAGCTGCGCAGCGACTCCCCCTTAGTCTGACAGATATTGAGGAGCTAGGTTGCCGGACGCCTCTGGCGCTAGGCTCCAATGAAATGGCCGAGAAAGGAGTCACTGAGGTGCTGGAAAGTGGAAACGGAGTCTGCTAGCAGCTGACTAAACCAGAGTCGAGCCGACCTCTTGAGTGTTACGGGGAAAGCCCGACACATGATTTCATCGGGGAATGCATGGAGGATCATGAGGGTTCTATAGGTCTCCAGGTGATCGACTGGGTCCGATGTACCGTCGAAAGAGTCGATTGTGGGCATCTTGAACTTAGGGGGCAGAGGTTTATCCCTGATGGAGGCAACGAACGGGGAGTTGGCTGTGGTAGAAAGTTTATGTGGTATGTTCTGCATGACTCCTTGGAGCTGGAGCTTCATGGCTCGGAGTTCTGCATCCCAAAGAGGAATGTTGTCACCACCGAAAGGCAACGGGGGCTGGACGCTGCTGGCCTCTCCTTCAAGGGTTGATATCGGGGCCGACGGATGCAGGGCCCGGGGTGGTGGATTTATATGTGGGGGAGGGGGTCGCAGGCCCTCCAAGTTGGGTGGATAGGGCTGCTGGATAGTATGGCTCGGTGCTCATTTTTGTTTCAGTGGAATATCTGGAGGTGATGGAGGGGGCATGGGAAGGTTTCTTTGGAGTAGGGCATTAATCAAAGCTTGGTTCTGCTCGGCCAGGCGGTTAATGTTGTTGGTGAGCTCGGTAAAGTACTGTGGTGGGTTGTTTGGATTGGGAGGGTCGGCTTGGTGGTCGGGAACATGGGGGTGGGAAGCCATAGATCTAGTTGTGACCATCCACCTTCGCAGGTGGTAGAAAGGGGTTATTGGGAAAGGGCCTCCGGCGACAATGAGCACAACTGGCACGCGGAGTAAGAGAGTTCCCACAGACGCCGCCAACTGATGATACAGTTTGTTCCAGGTGGAAAGGGTCGGACTGATCCACGCTCCTCAAGCCTGTATCCGAATGACCAAGCCCACCAGAAGACCTGCACAAGAGTTCAACAGGGAACGGGAAGTCCCCCAGCGAACCCTCCGACGAGCAAGTTAGAGAGAGAAGTAGAATATATGGATGAATTAGAGATAGAAAGCTTAACCTTCTTCCCGTCTTCGACGTCTGCTTATATCCTCTGGTAATCATTTCGTTGTCCCTTCCGACCTGTCACCTTGGCCGAAAGTCTATGCTCTACCTTACCTTGTTCATAGTGAAACCGTTCTGTCCCGACGGAGAGAGGTTATCGCAATAAATGCTATAAGGGGCCTCATTAATGGCGATGTGCAGTGGCAATAACTTTGCAGATCTTTGTCTGCTTATGTGGCTTGCCCTTCTCTTGTCATGTGTCTTGATGCCATTGGTTCTCGTTGCTACGTGGGGCTTCAGCAATGTTGGGTTTTAGTATTTGAATTATGTATTGGGCCCTAAATGGTGGGCTATAATCTTTATGGGCTTATCCATGTCAACTATCAAAAATCATAGGGAGAATTAGATGTAGGTAGAAGAAGAAAAAAAAAAATTAAAATCATACAACTGATATTACGCTTTTTATTTACATTCCACCATAGACACTTACACTTTATGCCTTTGTAATTTTTTTCTCCTTCTCCAACAATTTTCCAAAATCATAACAACGACTATTAAAAAAATAGACGCTAATACTATATGCATTAATTAATACACTAATTAATGTACTAATTGATAATATGATACAATTTAAAATATTTTTCATATTTATATTTTGAATAACAAGTAAGATCAATAATAATATTATAACTAATATTATAACTAATATTAATACACTAATTAATACTTGTAGCATCACTCAAAAAAAAATTCTTACTTGATGTTGCATTTATAACAAAGTCAGAACCTTTAGCTCTTCCAACCATGTAGTTCCATGTATAATTGATGACCATCATTTAATTACCTTAAATATTACAGCAAAATGGCAATTGATTGGAAGTTGTTTTCTTTTCAGAATTTAAAAATATTTATAAAAAAAAAGTATAAATGGAAATAAAGTTTCCGCACATGGAACTCCATACTAAAACCCCTCCCATCAGTGCATCTATTTTCCTTACCTAAACCTCCACCTGCAACACCACATACCAAATCAGAAAAGCTTCATACCCCCACTGGGGGTTGACCCCCAGTGAGGTGTCGGCTCCGGATTGGTCCAAAAAAAAAACTGTTTTTTTTTTTTTTTTTTTTAAGTTTTCAGCCACTGGGGGCGCGCCACGTCACTGGGGGCGCGACCCCCAGTGGGTGTATGGATCACGGCTCCATACCAAATACCCAGACTGACTTGAAAATTTCAGCAATCTATGATGCAAAGAATTAAATTAAGTTTGACCCATGTACATCAGTTGTCATTGAAGGAATGAGTGGTGATAAGTGGTGTAGTAATGGTTAGCTGGAGGAGAAAGAAGAGTAGAGTTGGACCCATCTGCAGAAAGTTGGGGTTGGACTCATTTTACAGAGAGTTTGGAAAGACAGAGAGATGGGAAAGATGGAAAAATTGGTTTGATAATCTTAAGGGCATAATTGGCATTACATAAAATATTGTTGTTGACGTCATTTTAGTCTGTTAAGGCTTGGTTTGGGAAGTGGGTTGACTTTTTGGCTTTTTGGCTATTTTAGCCTGGGCTTAAAAGCTTGGTTTGGGAAGGCTTTTTGGCTTTTTGGCTTTTTTGAGTTTTTTTGTGAGAGAAGAACGTAATGATTATAGGTTGGATGTGATGTTTTGTTTGTTATGGCTAAAATAGCCTATTTTGTTTTTTGTGGCTAAAATAGCCAAAAAAGTCTGCAAACTCACTTGCCAAACACAGGCTAAGTTAACTAACGGTAGATTAAAATGAGTAATATGTAATGCAATTGTTTATCTCAGTGAGGAAATATAATTTTCAAAACCTGAAGAAGAAATATGCATTAAGTTCAAACCTGAAGGGGTGTCATTGTAATTTACCCTTAAAATTAAAATATTATATAAAATAACAAAATTACCGTATTACCCCTATGACAGTGATGATTGAAGGAACCAGTACGGATTGCTTTGAAATGAGATGGCGGGCAGGCTTGGTACACAAGCCAAATTTGTATTGAAAGGATGGTATAAGTTCACGTGTGAACAGGAATGTGTGTAAAAAAAAAAAAAATTAGATGAGGCTTCCTTCCAGTCCTTCATCGGACAGGAGGGTACTATTGGGCTCGTGGGGATCCACCATAGGTTCCATTTCTATAATTTGAACCGTTCAATGTGTAAAACTCATCGATTATTTTATGTTTGTAAAAAATCACATTGATCGGATATGGATAGTTATGTAATTAAATCAGTTTTGTATAATAAAAAAAAAATGGACGGTGAAAAAATAAACGATTGACAAAAATCTAATTTGATCACATAGCTATCGATATCCAATCAACGTGATTTTTTACAGACATATAGTACTCGATGATTCCTACACATTCACGGTTCGGATTATTGAAACGGAATCCGTGGTGAGCCTCTACGAGTCCAACAGTACCCTCCACTAGAAGGAAGCCTCATTTAATTTTTTTTATTTTTTAACACAGTCATGTGAACCTGTACCATCCCTTCAAAACAAATTTGGCTTGTGTACTCTTTATATATATATATATATGATAAATAGTGATAGCTTTTTGATTTTTTTAGTAACTTTTTGACTTTTTATCTTTTCTAAATTATCCCAAATAAGCACACTAATGATTTTATCTTCTCTCTAACAATCATCAAATCAACTATACAAAAGAGCTAATCAACTTCCCAAATATAATTTTTTTTACTAAGCTAAATTAGCCAAAAGCCAATTAAAATATCAAACTTCCCAAACAAGGCTATAATGCGAGAAAGACTATCGTATACATTTCTCAAACGACATGTATCAATGTACTTTATAACTATAAAATAATAATAATAATAATAATAATAATATAACTCCATATTTTTTTAGTCATAACTAAAAAAAAAAAAAGTCATAACCAAATATAAAAAGTCATAACTAAATATCTCAAAATCATTACTAAATAAAAAAATTAGTTATAACTTAAATAAATAAGGTAACTAACTGTGCGTAGCATATGATTGTCTGTATAATAGAATTGTCCACATAATGCAGCTTGTTCATCACCACTCTGCCTAGCCTATATAATATCGTGTTGAACACATTGTGAAAAATACACAAAGTTTCTCTCCTATTTTTCTCTCTTTCTCTGTCTTCCTCTTTGTCATATATTTATCAATAGTCACAAGTAATAATGGCTGATAATAAGGTGGTTCTTTTGGGTTTATGGTCTAGCATGTTTGGGATGAGGGTGAGAATAGCACTGGCTGAGAAAGGCATTGAATATGAACACAAGGAAGAGGACTTGTGGAACAAGAGCTCACTGCTTCTTGAGATGAACCCGATCCATAAGAAAATCCCGGTTTTGATTCACAACGGAAGACCGGTTTGTGAGTCCCTCATCGCTGTCGAGTACATCGATGAGGTCTGGAATGAGAAAGCTTCGTTGTTGCCCGCTGATCCTTACCAAAAAGCTCAAGCTAGGTTCTGGGCTGACTATGTTGACAAGAAGGTGACTTGTTTTGTTTTGTTTTGTTTTGTTGTGTTAGGGTTTTTTATTTTTTTATTTAACTTGTTAAAATTTGGTGCTATTTCATAAAAAAAAAATATTTTAGTACAGTTGTTGTAAAAAAATTGTTTTGAAAATAAGTAAAAAGAGGTGGTGGCTGAATTTAGTTTCTAGAGGGGGAAGTGGTTGGTGGTGGTTAAATGTGATTGTCAGTCTAGAGATGGTGGTGGGAGGAGGTTTTCGATAACGATGGCTGAAGATGGTGGGTGGCTCGTGGTGAGTGATGGGGCGAGGGAGTGAAAGAACGAAGGAATGAAAATTTATCAACTATATAAAAGAAATTCAACAACGACTAACTGAGAAAGAATCACATAACATTTAAACCCAAAAAGAAAAAATAATAAAAACATCTAAATGATAGATAAATCTCAGTGTGTGAAATGATTAATCATCTGTAATATGATATCAAAATATAAAAGAACCTACTATTTAACAATTGAAAAAGTAATTCAAATTGTAAATTCAAACTTTAAAGGTTCCTCGAGAGTATCGTTGTGCAGGTTTTTCCTCTTGTGAATTGTGATTATATAGAATAATGTTGGAAATGGAGTATAATTTTATATATAGAATCACTATAAAATTTAAACAATAAATCCATAATATAGAATAATATAAAATTAGTATTGATAATAGAATAATGCATGGGAAAATAAGGGGAAAAAATGCAATTTAGCTTACAAAAAAAATCCTAATACCTTTGAAAGAATTAAGAAGAAAAATATGAAATGCAAAATTGGTATTGGATTTGTGGATTATCTCAATTTACAATAAAAAATATATGAAAAACAAAAATTTGTCAAATAGAATCCATATAAAATAAGTAAAGTTAGTATAATTTAAATTATATTTAGGTTTGTGTAGAACTCTATATGTAATTAAGAAAATATATACTGACGTGACTATCTTTAAAAAAAGTAAATACTTATAATGTGTTACCTAAAGATGAGAAAAACACTACTTTTAATAGTATATATATATATATGATGTATCTTAAAACAAAATGACCATAATAGACATCAAAATACATCCTTAATAGTAGTTCAAAGTTTTTCTGCTCGCATCTTTTAAAAATAAAAAATCTTAGAGCCCAGCTTTTGATTAAAAATAAATAAAAACCCTAATTTCTTCATTATTTTTCACTTCCTCCATTGTTTCTCATTTACTCTATTGTTACAAAATGAAGAAGAGATATACTTTTACACACAATAAGAGCTGGAAAGAGTATATTAATCTGCTCATCTTTATTGATAAACCAAACAGCCATTATATAGGCAAGTAAACAAACTGATAGTAGCAAGAAAACAGGAACTACTAAAGCATGAAATTAGGAACTGCAGTGACTGCATAGCAGGCTCAACTTTCTCCTAAAACTAAGCCAAAGTAGGCCATGTACAGCAACTAACTAGGAACAGCAGTAAACAAACTTCCTAAAGACTAGGACAACTCCTTGATTTTTCTAACAATCCCTCCCTTAAACTGATGTTTCAACACAGTTTACTGAAGGTATCCGAAGTGCAAACACCAAGCATTTTTCTTAGCTTCTGAAACGCAGGAAACTTGAGAGACTTTGTTAAAATATCAGCAACTTGGTCTTCACTTCTGCAGTAAATTAGATCAATGGCTCCATCATTTGTGAGATCCCTCAAGAAATGATACTTCACATCTATATGTTTGCTTCGGCCATGCAGAACAGGATTTCTTGATAGCTTTATTGTTGAAGTGTTGTCATAATAAATTAGAGTAGGCTCATCTTCCTTGAACTGTAGCTCTTTGAGAATCTTCTTTAGCCAAATAGCTTGACAAGCACAAGCTGCTGCAGCAACAAATTCAGCTTCTGTAGTTGATAAAGTCACGATTGATTGCTTCCTTGATGACCATGAAACTGCTCCTGTCCCCATCATGAATACATACCCCGATGTGCTTTTCCGATCATCTGAATCTCCTGCGTAATCACTATCTGTAAAGCCATACAAATTTGATTTTTCTCCCTTCTTGTAGAACAGCCCAAACTCCTTAGTACCTTGCAAGTACCGAAAAATTCTTTTTGCAACCAAGAGATGAAGCTCTGTAGGACACTCCATGTACCTACTAATGACACTTACATCATGCATTATATCAGGCCTTGTTGCAGTCAAATACATTAAACTCCCCACAATCTGCTTGTAAAGAGTGTTGTCGACCTTCGTTCCTCCATTATCTTTGTTTAGCTTTAAGCCAAACTCAGATGGTGTAGTCACAGGATTACAATCCTTCATTTGGAACCTGTCCAAGATTTCTCCCACGTACTTCTTTTGAGAAATAAAAATTCCCGTAGACGACTGCACTACTTCAATGCCAAGATAATAATGCATCATGCCAAGATCGGACATCTCAAATTCAACCATCATGGATTTCTTAAAACTTTCAAACATGGCTGTATTATTTCCAGTGTAGATTAAATCATCTACATATAAGCAAACAATATGCATGTTCCCTCTTTCTTCACTTTTTATAAAAAGTGTATGTTCATAAGGACATTTTTGAAATCCTTCCTTCAAAAAATAAGTCTCTATGCAATTATACCAAGCTCGTGGAGCTTGTTTTAATCCATATAGAGCCTTTTTTAACCTATACACTTTATGTTCATTGCCAAGTTTCACAAAACCAGGAGGTTGATCAATGAATACCTCTTCTTTCAAATCTCCATGGAGGAATGCTGATTTCACGTCCAATTGGAAAATAGGCCATGAGTTTCGAGCTGCCAATGTAATTACCATTCTGATTGTGTCATGTCTTGCAACCGGAGCAAAGAATTCTTTGTAATCAACACCAAACTCTTGCTTGTAGCCCTTAGCCACCAAGCGAGCTTTGTACTTGTCAACTTCACCATTCTCCTTCAGCTTTGTCTTGTAAACCCACTTTACACCTATTGTTTTGTGCCCTTCTGGAAGATCAAATAACTCCCATGTATATTTTTCCTTATGGCTGCAATTTCTTCATCCATAGCTTTCCGCCATTTTGATTCTTTGACAGCATTTTCGAAAACTGTAGGATCACAGTCCGAAAATAGTGCAAAGTGAGTGAGTGCGTCTTCAGATTGATCAATTCCGGTTACCTCATAGTCCGACATCCACGCCGGTCTTCTTCTGGCACGTTGAGGTCGTTCCTCTTCTTCGGTAGCTGCTGGAATTGGCTGTTGTTCATTCTCCACCAGCTGCTGCCTTCCATTTTCATTCTCTCCATCAAAAATAGCAGGAATCTGTTGTTGAACACCATCATTGTTCCATGGCCAAAACTTTTCTTCATCAAAAACAACATCTCGACTGATAATGATTTTCTTGGTGCTAGGATTGTATAGCTTATAAGCTTTTGATTGATCACTAACACCAAGAAAAATGCATTTTTCTCCCTCATCATCTAGCTTTCTCCTCTTCTCGTTTGGAATATGGGCATATGCAACACACCCAAAAATTCTGAAGTGACCAACCGCTGGTCTTCGTCCGCTCCATGCTTCCTCCGGTGTTATATTTTGAACAGCAAGAGTGGGACTTCTGTTCAAAATATGAATACTCCAATTTACTGCTTCAGGCCAAAAACTTTTTGGAACTCCACTTCTTAACAAAAGGCTTCGCACCATATTCATAATAGTGCGATTTTTCCTCTCACAAACGCCATTTTGCTGGGGCGTGTAAGCTGCAGTAAGTTGCCTCTTGATTCCATGGGTCTCACAGAAATTTGCAAATTCATGTGAGTTATATTCTCCACCACGATCTGTGCGAAGAACTTTTATGAGCTGTCTAACCTTTTTCTCAACTAGAGCTTTGAAGCTTTTAAAGGCTGCAAAAGCTTCAGATTTTTCCTGCAACAAATAGACCCATATCTTCCTGCTATAATCATCAATGAAGGTAATTATGTATCTTTTACCTCCATTGGAACATGGAGTTATTGGCCCGCAAATGTCGGAATGAACAAGTTCCAATGCCTTCTTCGCTCTCCATGATTTCCCTTGTGAAAACTGATTATGATGTTGTTTGCTAACAACACATTCTTCACAAACTTCAGAGGGAGCTGTGATTTGAGGAAGACCAATCACCATATCTTTCTGCTGTAGCGTCTTCAGTCCACCAAAGTTTAGGTGGCCATAGCGAAAATGCCATAGCCATGCTGCATCCCTTAATTTTGCTGAGAAGCATGAGTAAGTGGTGTTGTTGAGATACAATGGAAACATTCGGTTGGCTGTCATGTTTACTTGAGCCACCAAGCCCAATTTTTCATCTACAATTCTGCAGACTTCGTTTTTGATAGAGATTCCATATCCCTTTTCTTGAAGTTGACCAACACTGAGTAAATTTGTTCTCAAATCTGGAACAAAAAAGGACATTAGAGATAGTTTGAATAGAATTTTTGTTGGTTTGAATTGCTACCTTTCCTTTTCCCATAACAGAGACTTTAGAATCATCACCAAACTTCACAACATCACGAAAGGCTTCGTCCAACTCAGAGAATGCAGACTTCTCTCCACACATATGGTTGCTGCAACCAGTGTCTAAGTACCACAGATTCTTGCGGGTTTCCTCCTTCACGTGACACACCATCAAAAGAGACACCTCTTCTTCTTTTTCTGGAAAGTTAGTTCTTTCTCCACTTTGTCTATTCAAATTAGTTTGACAATCCGACTGATAATGGCCATACCTATGACATCTGTAGCATTCAACATTGGACTTGTCTGCTGACTTTGGTCTAGTTGATTGATGGCCTCCACGTCCTCTTCCTCTTCCTTGAAATTGATTCTTTTGGTGATGGTTTTGTTGTTGATTTCCACGATCATTGTTGTCTCTGCCTCCTCTACTGTGACCTCTACCTCTTCCTCGTCCTCTATCAACTCTACTTGGTGTAGAGTGATTTTCAGATGAGACCTTCAATGCATGTTCCTCTTTCTCCTGTTCGTTAACCAACAAAGAGCTTTGCAATTCATCAATTGAAAGTTCATCAGCATCATTAGATTCTTCTATAGAACAGACAACAAAATTAAATTTTGGTGTCATGGATCGAAGAATCTTCTCAACAATGGTGACATCCTCTGCCTTGTCTCCATAGATCCGCATCTTGTTGACGATTGCCATCGTTCTTGCAAAATAATCTGTCACCGACTCTCCTACTTTTATTCGAAGCATTTCAAACTCCGAACGAAATGCTTGAAGCTGCTGCCTCTTCACTCTTGTTGTCCCTCGATACTTTTTCTTCATGGAATCCCAAATATGCTTGGAGGTATCCTTGCAAAGAATTGTTTCCAAGATGGAGCGATCAATAGCTTGGAAAAGATAATTCTTTGCCTTGAGATCTTTCAGCTTCAGTGCTTCAAGCTCCGACTTCTGTGCATCTGTCAGCCTAACACCTTCGGCTGGTTTTGGTATTCCAGAAACAACCACCGGCCAGTATTCTTTGGATCGCAAGAAGTTCTCAATTAGCATGCTCCAATGATCATAGTGACCATCAAAGCGAGGAATGGATGGTTGCACAAAATTTTCTGAAGCCATCGATCTTGTTTGCTACTGCAAAAGAAAAAAGGTGATAGAGAAATAGAACTGCTGCTATATCACTCTCTATCTCACTTTTTCACTCGGAGGCTCTGATACCACTGTTACAAAATGAAGAAGAGATATACTTTTACACACAATAAGAGCTGGAAAGAGTATATTAATCTGCTCATCTTTATTGATAAACCAAACAGCCATTATATAGGCAAGTAAACAAACTGATAGTAGCAAGAAAACATGAACTACTAAAGCATGAAATTAGGAACTGCAGTGACTGCATAGTAGGCTCAACTTACTCGTAAAACTAAGCCAAAGTAGGCCATGTACAGCAACTAACTAGGAACAGCAGTAAACAAACTTCCTAAAGACTAGGACAACTCCTTGATTTTTCAAACAAAAATAATAGGTTCATATTAGGGCTGTTCAAAAATCCGTTCAAACCGGTAATCCGGACCGAACCAGACCGAATCATACAGTTTGGTTTGGTTCCATTAAGAATTGGTTCGGTTTCGGATTAAGAAATATGAGAACCGTAAAAACGGCTCGGTTAATGGATTTTATGAAAAAATCGAATCCATGTGCCACCCAACTCTTATAATTAGAATGCACATGCACTGTGTTAGCAAACCTCCTACCCTTGTGCAAATTGAGCATGGGTTTGCTACCAGTAGTAGGTCTTCTCGCTGTCTTAGGTCATTTTTCTTTCCGTAGAATCAAACAACCCAAGAAGACTGAAACCACTGAGACACTAACTAGAGCTCCTGAACCAGATGGGGCATTGCCCTTGATAGGTCACCTCCATCTCCTAGGAGGTGAAGCCCCGGTGGCTCGTATTCTCGGAGCCATGGTTGATAAACACGGCCCCATTTTCTCCCTCCGGCTCGGCAGCCACCAAGCCCTAGTGGTGAGCAGTTGGGAATTCGTTAAAGAATGCTTCACTACCAACGACACAATCTTCGCGTCGCGCCCGTCCATGGCGGTGAGCAAGTACTTCTACGACCACGCCGTGTTTGCCCTAGCCCCTTACGGACCCTACTGGCGCGATGTCAGAAAGATCGTCACTCTCGAGCTGCTTACAAACAGCCGTCTTGAGAAACTCAGTCATGTCCGAGAATCAGAAGTGGACTCGTCCATTAGAGATCTGCACTTACTGTGCATGAAAAATGTTGACAATCCCACCACGGTTGTGATGAACAAGTGGTTTGAGCACTTGACCTTCAATATAATCCTCAGGATGCTAGCTGGGAAGCGATTTTCAGGTAACTTATACTTTTAATTAGTTCAATTTTGATTATTAATTTTAAATTTTGTGTTAATCTGGATAGATTTTTAGCTAAAAAATGAACACAAAATTAGTAGACGCTAACTCAAGTTGAGCAAATTTTTTATTTTGCCTCTAAAGCACGACACATGCTTTTTATGTGCATATATATATATATTTTTTTTAAATGTCAATAGTTATAATCCATTGGACAAAATTAAAAGAAAATCATAAATTCATAATCAAAATCGAGCCCATTAAAATTACATGGGCAAAAATAACAAAGGGCGACCCCTTTTAGAATCTACTTCACTGGCGCCATACGGCTGTAAATTCATTCCTGGGCCTTGTACACGTTGCCCGTCACACTATGGGAGCTGGCTAAAAAGTATAAAATCATACCTTTAAAATGAGTATAATATTAAATATATTTTACAAAAATTTTAAAATTAAATATTTATTAATGAATAAAAATTACTTTTTGAATAGAGTTTGAATGAAGGAAATGAAGGTTTGTGGTTGGAGTTTGAATGAATAGTAACCTCCTCTATATTTACTTTTTGAATAAAAAACATTATTTTCATCCTCTTAGTGAGAGTATTACATTGGAGATGCTCTTAGAGTGAGAAATACAGGTAAGAAATATAATTATATATAATATTTTAAAAAAAATAATAATCCTTCTATTTGTACAAAAACTATCAACACAATCATACAATTCTCTAGTGTTAGATCCACAAAAATAACCTACTACAAATATTGTAACTTTATTATAAAATTTTATAATATCAATCCTAAAATGCGTAATTCCATCACACATTATCGTAACAAAATGCCCAAAATTTTGGAATTCATGTCACAAAAGTTTGTAGCTTGGTTACGACATTTTTTGTTATGCTAATTTGTGACAAGTTTCGCATTTTATGGTTAATATTACTGAATTTTGTTGCTTATGGGTGATTCTGCAGGTGAATTGTGTGGGTATGTATTGTGTGGAATGAGCTTTGGGTTTCATTTGGGGGTTGAGTTTTTGGGGTTTTTATTTTTATTTTTATTTTTATTTTATTTCTGGGCATGGTCTCTCACCATCCCTCTGTGGTTGAGTTCGCAGATGATTGAACTTTCTTCTCGGTGCCAACTTAGTTGGGATTGGGTTTGTTAGCTTTGATGCGCTTCTACTCTTCCACCTCTTTATTGATGTTCATCTCATATGTATTTGTATGTTTTCGTCATCAATAAAGTTCTCTTTTGCTGATAAAAAAGAAATAAAAATATATCATTGAATTTTGTGATAAAATTATGCCAAATTATAATAAGATACATATGATACACACTATTGGAGTGGTGTGTGCCATAGAATTTTCCTCTACCAAATTGCATCTAATTTGATGATAGGTTCTATATTATTAGATTTTTTTTTTTTTTCAAATGAAAAAGATTTGATGACATAAAATATATGACCAAAGTTATGGAATAGAGAATCCAATGTGCCACCCAACTCTTATAATTAGCCTGCACATGCACTGTGTTAGCAAACCGCCTACCCTTGTGCAAATTGAGCATGGGTTTGCTACCAGTAGTAGGTCTTCTCGCTGTCTTAGGTCATTTTTCTTTCCGTAGAATCAAACAACCCAAGAAGACTGAAACCACTGAGACACTAACTAGAGCTCCTGAACCAGACGGGGCATTGCCCTTGATAGGTCACCTCCATCTCCTAGGAGGTGAAGCCCCGGTGGCTCGTATTCTCGGAGCCATGGTTGATAAACACGGCCCCATTTTCTCCCTCCGGCTCGGCAGCCACCAAGCCCTAGTGGTGAGCAGTTGGGAATTCGTTAAAGAATGCTTCACTACCAACGACACAATCTTCGCGTCGCGCCCGTCCATGGCGGTGAGCAAGTACTTTTACGACCACGCCGTGTTTGCCCTAGCCCCTTACGGACCCTACTGGCGCGATGTCAGAAAGATCGTCACTCTCGAGCTGCTTACAAACAGCCGTCTTGAGAAACTCAGTCATGTCCGAGAATCAGAAGTGGACTCGTCCATTAGAGATCTGCACTTACTGTGCATGAAAAATGTTGACAATCCCACCACGGTTGTGATGAACAAGTGGTTTGAGCACTTGACCTTCAATATAATCCTCAGGATGCTAGCTGGGAAGCGATTTTCAGGTAACTTATACTTTTAATTAGTTCAATTTTGATTATTAATTTTAAATTTTGTGTTAATCTGGATAGATTTTTAGCTAAAAAATGAACACAAAATTAGTAGACGCTAACTCAAGTTGAGCAAATTTTTTATTTTGCCTCTAAAGCACGACACATGCTTTTTATGTGCATATTTTTTTTTTTTTTTAAATGTCAATAGTTATAATCTATTGGAGCCCATTAAAATTACATGGGCAAAAATAACAAAGGGCGATCCCTTTTAGAATCTACTTCACTGGCGCCATACGGCTGTAAATTCATTCCTGGGCCTTGTACACGTTGCCCGTCACACTATGGGAGCTGGCCATGCCTGAAGTCGTTACCTTAACCGCAAGGAGGAGGATGCCAAAGGCAGGGGAGTTATAGGGTCCGAAGGAGAATGGACTTCCTATATCTCCTAAGACTTCTAAAAAGAGAATAGCAAGTGTAGAATGGTTAAATTTCTCTTTGTCAAGGAGAAGCGCGGGTTTGATTCCCGCCATGTGAATTACTAGTGTAATTTAGCATTCAGCAAAATAAAAACACAGCAAAAAAAGGCATCCGAATAAGGAAATTAATTTGACAGAAAATTGAACTAATTAACCAACCAACATGCAATTTCAAATTCAATAAAGCATATGAAATAAAATAAGCTAACTAAAAAGGGAAATTTTATAAAACACACCCCATTTGTATTGGTTATTATTGTGATTATTGTTTGATACTATTTCAGTCTGCAAATTAGATTCACTTTTTAAATTTAATGATGTAATAATTAATTAAGATATCTAATGCAACACTTTGTTACACTCTTTCTTATATTTTTTTTAATCATTAACCAATCATATTATTTATACAGGATAGAAAATGAGTTTAAAAAGTAGACTGGTATATCATTTTCCTTATTTATTTTGGTTATGATTGAAAATTTTCTATAATTTTATTTGAATATGAAAATATTGAAACAGGAAGCAGTGAATCAGGACCAAACAACCCAGAAGAGAATGAAATAAAAGAAGCGATAAAGAAAGGGCTGTATCTTAGTGGGATATTTGTGGTGTCAGATGCGATTCCATGGCTGGAGTGGGTGGATATAGGAGGGTATGTGAAAGCTATGAAGAAGACGGCAAAGGAAATTGATGTAGTACTTGGTAATTGGCTCCAGGAACATATTGACAAGAGAAAATTATTGGCGGAGGAGGGTGAGAGTTGTGATAGAGGTAGTGGTGGTGGTAATAGCCAAAGTGATTTCATAGATGTGATGCTATCAGTCCTTGAGGAAGATACTGAAATGTCTGGCTACAAGCGTGACACTGTCATCAAGGCAACTATATTGGTAACCTCAATTATTATTATTATTATTTTAATTTGAAATTTAGGACTCCTTACAAACATTTGGCCTTTATACTAAAGATAAATTTGGGAAGTTACAACAATAATTAAAAAGTTATAAAATTATTAAAAAAGTTAAAAATTTTAAAAATTATACAAAAAATTTAAAGATTTTCTTTTCTCTTTATTTTTTGTATTTTTTTTGTAAAAATTCAAATAATCATTTCAAATATATTAATTTTTTTAACCTTGTATTTTAGTTAAAAATTATTAAAATAGTTTATTCCCAAACCAACCCTAAGTATTGTTTTGAAAATTGGTTATTTTAATTAATTTTTTAACTTTTTATGAAAAGAAACACAGAAAAATAGAGCAAAATTTGACTTTTTGATAGTGATTTTTTAACCTTTTTTTTTTTTTGACGAAAATAGCCTATTGCCAAACTTAAGTTTTTAAAAAAAATTATTTATTTATTACAACAATGTTACATCTATACAAAATTTCCCTCGGAATTTCCTCCAAATGTGCGGTTAGAATCATTTTCTTACCGGTCATAACACGTTATGGAGGGATTTGGACGGAAAAATTATATGGATAAATCATTTTTGTACTTAAACTCAAATAGAAGAGAGAAAAAAAAAAAAAAAAACTCAATCCTAGATTATACAAGTTTAATTACTAATTTTACAACTAAAAATATGAGAAAAGTAATGTTTAAGTGATATTTTGTTATAATTTATTTAATTATTTGATATTATAATTTTAAATTATTTTACTATTATTTTCTCAAAAGCAAGCTAGACCATCTAGTCAGGGCCGTGGGTCTACCATGGTAACAGTTCAATGATATGATACGTTGATCTTTTAAGTCTTTTGTAAGTTTTTTTGGGTGGGTAATGTCTTTTGTAAGGTCTCGTTTGGCAAGAGGCTATTTTAGTTAATTAATTAAAAAGTTACTAAATTAGTTAAAAAGCCAACAATTCATACCAAAAAGTCAAAGATTCTCTTTTCTCAATACTTTTTGCACATCTTTTCGTAATTAGTCAAAAAGTCATCCCAAACATACAAGTTTTTTTTACCTACCTTTTTAGCCAAATAACAAAAAAGCTACTAAATTAGCCTGTTCCCAAACGAGACCTAAGTTTCTTGTGAATCCACAATGGTTTTTTTAGGCTATATATATAATTGCCCTGAATTGGTCCACCCCTCGTAGTATGTAACTATCAAGTCAAAAGAAAAGTCTTTAAGAAAATGATATATCCTTGTCGTGTAAAGAAAAAAAAAAAAGAAAAGAGTATTTGCACGGATCACATACATGCTGTCCACGTAGTAGTGCCCTCGTTTAAAATATCAATCACAATTGAAGACCGTTCACACTAATTAACCACTGAACAACCATCTTTGTAGATTCTCATATTGACTGGATCAGAAAGCACAGCCGAGACACTGACATGGGCTCTGTCCTTACTCCTAAACAACCGGCGTGTATTAAAAGCGGCTCAACAAGAACTAGACATCCAAATCGGAAGACACAAATGGGTTCAAGAATCAGACATCACCAAGCTACCCTACCTCCAAGCCATAGTCAAAGAAACACTCCGCTTGTACCCACCAGGCCCTCTAGCAGGACCCCGTGAGGCCACCCAGGACTGCCACGTCGGCGGCTACTTCGTCCCCAAAGGAACCCGCCTCATCGTCAACCTCTGGAAGCTACAGCGAGACCCCCGTATCTGGACTCACCCCGATGAGTTTCGGCCCGAGAGATTTATCACCGACCATGCCAATGTCGGTTACAGAGGGCAGCAGCACGAGTACATTCCGTTCAGCTCTGGCAGAAGGATGTGCCCCGGTGTCACCTTTGGCTTGCAAGTGGTGCAATTGACGCTGGCGCGTTTGCTTCATGGATTCAACATTGCTACGCCGATGGAGGTCCCGGTGGATATGACGGAGGGCTTGGGGATTGCCCTGCCCAAAGTGAATCCGCTTGAAGCTGTCCTCACTCCGCGACTTCCTTTCGAGGCTTATTATGAGAATGTTTGAACTGGTTATGTTATGTGTATGTGGATCTGGAACTTTTTTTTAATTAGGTGAAGACTTGTTAGTTTGGAAGGGATGTCTACTTAGATATGGTATTGTAATAAAGGTGATTGGTTATCACATCATTTATAGTGCAAAAATTCATCAGTGTGTTAGACATGCAGAGGGAGCAGCTTTTGTGCTGTTGGTGTTGATGCTTTGATGTATTAGTTGGAACAATCTTTTGTGTAGAGAAATAAAAACTGAAATAAAATAAAATAAATAAAGTACTTATAGGACGTTCTAGTTTCTGAAATTGAGAACAATAACACATCGAAAAATTTGATCAAGTCGAGTGTGTGACACTCTGTCCTTAAGAGAGATTCACCGCCGTACAAGAACTTACGGGTTTTCGGCGTCTATCTCCCATAATACAATAATTAAAAAATACAGATTATATAAAGCACTACAAATAATCTGTCAGGTGCATCAAACCTATGTTCTGCAACTCTTTGAAATCTTTATGAACTAGTATGAAGAATATAAAAAGAATGCTAGAATTTGAGGAATTTTGGAATGATGAATAAAATTGGAATGTGACTGCATTTATATAGATTTTGTTGGCACCTATTCAGTTTGAATAGAAAAGGCATGAAGAAGAGATATGACCATTCCTTTAAAATAAAAAGACACCATGAAAGTGTTGCACCCTTTCATTCAAATGGAGGGTTGACCATTCTTTTAAAACAAAGAGACACCATGAAAGATTACACGCTTTCATTCAAGTAGAGTCCATTTCAATTCACCACTATCTTTATAAATTTCTAACAATACCCCACATGAATGAAATTGACGAAATGAGAAATGCAACAACATGATGTTTTTACAAAGAGTACATAAATTAGAGATATTCTATAAAGGATAAGCAGTTTTTGGCTTTGAATATTCCCTTGTGAGACACTATCAAATTTACTTACTAAGCAATGAACATGCTATCTTGAATTATTCAGCCATTTGTGTAAACTAAGACAATAGAACTCACACAGCATATTTCCAAACAAAGTTTGGTTCTCACTATTGTGTTAATTTTGGCTCTGAATAACCTGATTTTTCATGAATACTCTAGAGAATTGTAGCACTTCACAAATCTCATAGAACCGGCCTAGCTCACACTTATATAGCTGATTTTTATGAAGAGTGTTCTACCATACTCCACTAGGTATTCCTAGTTATAAGAATTATTAAAAGTATTACTTAACCTAAACGCTGTAGACATCACTATTTTATCATAGAAATGGGTAGGAGTTTGACTCCCTGGTGATCCTTATGAGTCATACACAACTTGGTTGTCGCTTTGAACCTAGATCTTGGAATCTTCAGTCAACTAGGTTGGATTGCCGTTGTGGTAACTCTTTTTTAATATGCTTAAGTCTCATTTCCTTCGATGAATTTTCAACTAACTCTCTTGCTAACCCTTTGGTTAATGGATCCGCTATGTTGTCTTTAGATTTCACATATTCAATGGAAATAATTCCATTAGAGAGTAGTTATCTCACGGTGTTAGTCGACGACGAATGTGTCGTGACTTACCGTTATACACATGACTCTGTGCTCTACCTATTACTGATTGACTATCACAATGTATGCATATAGCAAGCAACGGTTTTGGCCACATTAAAATATCGTCAAGGAAGTGACGAAGCCATTCTACTTCTTCCACAGCTTTATCTAAAGCTATAAACTTTGATTCCATAGTAGACCTAGCAATGCAAGTCTGTTTGGAAGATTTTCAAGATACAACTGCATTACTAAGAGTAAAGACATACCTACTGGTAGATTTTGAGTCTCTAGTATCTGATATCCAATTCGCATCACAATATTCTTCAAGTATTGCTGGATATCTAGTATAATTTAGCCCAATATTACGAGTAAATCAAAGATATCTTAGAACCCTTATAATAGCTTTCTAGTGTTCTACTTCTGGATTACTCATATATCTACTTAATTTACTTACTGTATAGGCTATATCTTGACAAGTGTAGTTCATCAAGTACATTAAACTTCCAATAATCTGGGCATACTCTAATTGAGAAATATTTTCTTGTACATTCTTAGAAAGAAATAAATTAACATCCACAGGTGTTCTAGCAAGCTGATTATTATCTTTGCTAAATTTGTTAAGTATTTTCTTAATATAATGTGATTGTGACAAAGCATATCCTTATGATGTTTTAGTAATTTTCATACAAAGAATTAAATCAGCAATTCCCATGTCTTTCATATCAAAAAGTTTATTCAACATTTTCTTTGTAGTTTTAATCATGTCATTACTATTACCTATGATGAGCATATCATCTACATACAGACATACTATAACATGTCCTTTGTTTGTATTTTTAATATAAACACATTTGTCACATTCATTAATTTTGAATCCATTTGGCATCGTTGCCTTGTCAAATTTTTCATGCCATTGCTTTGACGCTTGTTTTAAACCATATAATGATTTAACCAATTTACACACTTTTTTTTTCTTTTCTTGGAACAGAAAATCCTTCTGATTGTTCCATGTAAATTTCTTCATTTAACTCACCATTTAATAAAGCTGTTTTCACATTCATTTGATAAATTTCTAGATTGTACAAAGATGAAGTGACAATTAGTATCATAATGGATGTTATTCTAGTAACTAGTGAGTATGTACCAAGACATTCTTTTTGCCTATATCCTTTAACCACAAGTCTTGCCTTGTATTTGTCAATTGATTCATCCGCTTTCATTTTTCTCTTGAAAATCCACTTGTACCCAAGTGGTTTACAACTTGGTGGCAAATCCTCCAATTCCCAAGTGTGATTTTGCAAGATGGATTCAACTTCGCTATTTATAGCCTTTTTCCATAAATAAGCCTCAAGACTGGATATAGTTTCTTTGAAAGTTAAAGGCTCATTTTCTAACAAAAAAGTTAGAAAATTTGGACCAAAAAATTTTGAAGTTCTAGCACGTTTACGGTCATGACCTAAACCCGCCCTTCAAAGTTTGGTCCATGATCGGCCCGTACTCAGGCCTTAAAACAAAATTTTAATAATAAGCGTACGTCAACGGGGCCTAAAGCGGAAGCAAATAAATTACAGAACGTCTATTGAGCAGTGCTTACATGCCAGGATTTTAAATATACACAATTTATACATATATACGTTCCAGTCCACGTTATAAATATATACAAGGAGTTAGCAATGAAAAATTTACATATGACTCAAGGCTTTAACAAAAGCCACAAAAAACTAGACAAAACATGTGACATCAAAAGAGACAGATAAAAGTTTCAATTGCGGAGGCTGAACACAACGGACCCACCAAAAAAGGCTCCTGAAGCTGACCTAGGGCTGTTTTCCCAGCTGATCACCTACATAAACATATATAAAAACGAAATGAGTAGGACTCAATGATTAATAATAATGTAAAAAAGGTTCAAGTGAATAGGCATATGTCTTAGAGAATATTTATCTAACGTTCACATGGTCCTTTCATCATATTCCAAATAGCCTCAGGCCCAACATAATACAAAACGGCCTCTGGCCCAGCATAATACAAAACGACCTCGGGCCCAACATGATACAAAACAGCCTCGGGCCCAACATGATACGAAACAGCCTCGGGCCCAACATGATACAAAATGACATCGGGCCCAGCATGATACAAAACGGCCTCAGGTCCAGCATAATACAAAACTTTGCATGCCCCTAGCCGAGTAGAAGCTCCGAGGCCAAGCGGACAGTCTGTTTGGACAGACTAGGCTTTATGTCTTAGAAAATTTTGGGCAAGTTTTACTCATTGGAGAGTGTAGCTTGGCTCTTCGTAAAGCGCAAATTATTATCATGGACCATGCTTTCAAGTAACGATACTTGGCACAACTTCCACCAAGCTATACCACTTGGCCCCCTACTCCAACCAAAGGGCTGAGCTTTCGGGCTAGGGTGTAGGTTAAGACCCATAACCCATTCTTGCTCAATTGTTGAGTGAAATATGTACAACACATGAAAAAGAAACTTATCGGAGAGTGTAACTTGGCTCTTTGTTGAGTGCAAGTTGTTACCATAGACCATGCTTTCAAGTAATGATACTTGGCTCAAATTCCACCAAGCTATACCACTTGGCGCCCTATTTGCGACCATGGGGCTAGGGCATGGGTTAAGACCCCTGTTACCCATTATAGAGGATGAATTTCGACGGACTGTACTTCAAGAAAGCTTCTACAGCTTCAATCTCAAGGCAGAACGGAGAAGGGGGTGGCTAGCAACTGATCCAGAGCGCGACGCTCTCATTGGTGTACGAACCGGTCCAAGTGGTCCCTTTCCTTGTCTAGCCAGTGCTTCTCTTCCATATCTCGTTGATGTTCCTCTTCCTTACATAGTTGTCGTTCCTCTTCTTTGTTGTCGTTCAATTAACTTCTCAAATCGTGTGGCCGCTCATTGTGGTGGTAAGGAAGAGTTTCGGATAGGCGACTGACGGTCCTTTGCCTTTTATGAGAAGCCTCTTGTAGGTTGTTTGTTCAGAGGTTATCCGTCTGAATGCTAGCCCTTTCACTGCGCACTGGAATCGGCCGGCTACGTTCTCCACGAGTAAGGCCACGGCTGGAGTGCTCCTTGTGAGGTGGCGGAGGAGTACGTCTCCTTTGCGACGGTCCTCCAATGGACTTTCTTGGCTCCGTAGGGGTCATTAAGAACTTCATTAATTAGGTGCGAAGCTCAGTGATCTCTAAACCCATTGAGTCAATGATATGATCACGGTGGTCTCTCTCAACAAAAAGAAGCTAAGACAATTCGACGGCAACGACACGACACGACATTGCTTTGCCGTGGTAGGTGTCTGATCGTCATGGTTCATAGGGTCATCATGCGCTGAGGGGAATGCCAGACCCTTATCTTTGGTCCTCTCCGTCATTAGAGTCCTCTCTGTTAACCCAGAATGTGGTGTATCTTCGATTCCCATCACCGGAGTTCGTCACGAGGCAAGCAGTGGTTTTCCCATAGAAGGCGCCAATTGTGTGGGGGTGATTTCCGCACTATGAAGAAGGGTTAAACTTCGTGGATAAACAATGTGCTTTGGGAATTGAAGATCTACACATAATAACAAACGGTGAGGCTGCTCGACCGGGGTTTGGTCGGAAACCCCTCCGATGATAAA